ATTGCACCTCCGGTGAAGGCTGAAAGAGACAGACAGTTTTGCTTGTGTTGATGGTGAGCCCGAATTTGGTCGCTGTCGAAGCCAGAGCACTAATCATGTGCTGCAACTCATCCGCGCTGTGTGCAAACAACACACAGTCGTCAGCAAACAGCAACATACGGATAGTTGCTTCACAGACTAGAGTTCTCGCACCGAAACGACGGATGTTCAGCAACCCACCATCAATACGGTGCTCCACACGAACACCGTAAGCACAAGCCGCATCAAAAGCACAAGACAACATTGCATGAAGATATATATTAAACAGGGCAGGAGCTAAGACACAGCCTTGCTTTACACCAGAGATAACTGCAAAGTCATACGAGGTCTCTCCACTCAGCTGCACCCTCGCTCGCATACCACTGTGCAGACATTCAACTAAACTTACAAACTTACGCGGGCAACCAAACTTACCCAACACCAGCCACAACGCCTCGCGGTTCACCGTATCAAATGCCTTGGTGAAATCAACAAAAAGCGAGTACAATGGCTGGTGTCGTTCTCTGCACTTCTCTTGCAACTGACGAGCCGCAAACACCATATCTATAGTGCTGCGACCCGAACGGAATCCACATTGCTCTTCCGCCACTTTAGGTTCCACAATCTGACTGACGAGGCGATTGAGCAGGATTCGGGCAATCACCTTGCCCACACAACTCAGCAAGTTGATGCCACGATAATTCTTGCAACATTGCTTGCTCCCTTTGCCCTTGTACAGTGGTAGCACAAGGGCGCTCTTCTGTTCAGGAGACACCTCCTCCACAATCCACACGCGTTGCACCAACTGGTGCAGCGCAGTCAACAACGCGGGTCCACCGTGTTTCAATACTTCAGGTTGGATCCCGTCACATTTGCCGTTTCGCAGCTGAGCAAGTGCTCTCTGCGTCTCATCCAGTTTCGGCGTATGCGCCAGATCCGCCTTCACATCGTGCTGCTTCAGGCCGTTCAATGTAGGCCAGTCGATCGCTGAACGGTTGTTCAAGAGACAGTCAAAGTGTTTCCGCCAGACCTGCATTATGTCTGCAGTCTGGGTGCAGGTAGCGCCTGAACTACCATCGATCAGTGTCCTCAGCGGCTCCAATCTCGGTCCATACACCGCCTTCAAGGAGTCAAAGAATTCCTTGTGTTGACGGCGTTCGGCGTAGCATTCCATCTGCTTCGCCTTCTCCGTCCACCATGCATTTTTAATGCGACGGAGCTCTCGGGTCATTCGCCGTCGAAGTTTGCGAAACTGACTACTCTTCCCAAGTCACTGGGGTCTGCCACATGTGCAGCAAATGCTGCATTCTTCTCTGACACCAATGCGTCAATCGTCACATTGTTGTCATCAAACCAATCAGGCCGCTTACAGTTTGCGCGCCCGATGGTCTCCTCGGCAGCAGCTGTCACCTGGTCGCGAATGTGGTGCCACAGGTCGCCCACTGTGGCTATGCAGTCCACATCACACAGGCGTGCAGCCATCGCCTTCTCCAGCTCAGTACGTTTCGCCACAGTACCGAGGGAGAGAATGTTAAATTTACGCCGATTCACGGCGGGAGTGCAATACATAGATTTACGAAAATATATGTACAGTTTGGTCCGAACCAATTTGTGATCAGTGCCACACTCAGCTCCACGCAGTACACGTGTCATGCGCACTTCACGCATATCACGCTGACGTACGATGACATAGTCGAGCAGGTGAGCGTGACCACTCCGTGGGTGCGTCCAAGTTGCTATATCACTCGCACTCAGTGCAAACCGAGTGTTCGTGATCGTCAGGCCGTGAGTGGCACACAGTGAGAGCAGCCTGTCACCGTTCGCATTCACTGAACCAATGCCATGCGAACCGATAACATCTGTCCACACCGATGCATCACGCCCAACGCGCGCGTTGAAATCACCCAGCAGAAATAGTCGGTCGCTCCTCGGCACAGACCGTATCACGGAGGATAGTTCAGTGTAGAACTGATCACGCGTGTCATCAGGATAACACATGGTCGGACCGTATGTGCTTATAAAAGTAGCAAACTTACCACTTCTGAGTCGTAGGCGAACAGTCATCAGTCGCGCGCTGATGCCCGTTGGTTCACCCACCAGCTGGCCATGGAGGCGATCGATATTGCAAATCCGACCCCATGTTCACGTGGTGCTGAGGCGGCGTTGCCCATCCAGTAGAATGTGTAGCCAGCACCTGCTTCATGTAACTTACCTTGCTCAGCGAGCCGAGTTTCACAGAGCGCCGCAATATCGATGTGGTAGCGCGCCAGCTCCATTGCGACCAGTGTAGTGCGTCGCTCCGAGCGCTCGCTGGAGTTTCGGTCCAGTAGTGTGCGCACGTTCCAGCACCCGATGTTGAGTGCTTTGCGCGCAGGCATACGATTGCATTGGTGGGCAATCGCATGCGAGGTGGTCGTTGTGCTTCGGAGGTTTGCTTGAGGGACTCCACCCGGAGCCTTTGGCTCAATAGCCTGGCCCACAAGGCAGTGGGTGATTTGGAGGTTTGCTTGAGGGACTCCGCCCGGAGCCTTTGGCTCAATAGCCTGACCTACAAGGCAGTGGAGAGCAGATCCAGCTCGGGAATGTGATTGCAGAGACAGATTGGGATCTGCTTGACGGCCGTCACACGCAGCCTTTGAGGTTCTGGAACAATTATCTTATGTTTTGCGACCGTAATTGGATACGCACCTGCGACCACGGCCAGACGCAGGTGGGTTTTTGGCGGGTTTGCACCAATTTGACCAGGGGCTGCCTGGCTTGAGGCGGGCAGTAGCAAACCATTGAACACCCGGAGGTGTCCTCCCACCGTCAGAGACAATGCGTGGCCCTCGTGCTCTACGCCAATCGAGCTGTGAGATTATAACCCGTAAACCTGTTGTCTCCCATGGCTAGGTTTTACGGGAAGTGGGCCATCGACCACTTCCTAACCTCCGAAGAGGATGGACTAGGATACTTCCAGGACGCCCACACCTGACAGGAGAACGACTCGGGTCCTCAGCCAAAGCCTTCGATTAATTATACACCCGAAAGGCAGCGAATCTAGCACATGGTCAGTTAGCCGACTCATGCGGATTGGTGTCCTGGATCTTAGCAGGGAGAAGGGCGAAACCCAACTCCCACCCAGCGGTCGCCACTTGGAGGCGCCCAGAACATGAGACTATGGCGCAGCAGTAGCAGCAGTGGGTAGACCATCTGTCAGGATCTAGCCACCAACAGCCGCAGCGTACCATAGGCTCTCCCGCCTGGACAGCTGTATTAACACCTGTGGGATGTAAAATGAGATGACATACCGTATAGCAAAATCTGGAGGCGCCTTTGCTTGTCTCTACCACTTATGGCTTCGGTGTGACATCATTATCGCCCTTAAATGTAGCGTCCACGCTGCAGCCATCCATTCAACCTTAATTTACGGTCGTGAAACCTGGCCCTTCAACTCAACGGTATCAAAAGGCTCGTTACGTTCAAGCACTATTGCCTTCGCAGATTGGCTCACATCTGGTAGGACCACCGCGTGAGCAATTAGTGTGTTCGACGTCTCGTATTTGATGCAGGTGGAGTGAGATAACCGCCCAGCGCCATTGATTTACGCACCAGGCTCCGATGGTCAGGTCATGTGTTGTGAATGCCAACCACCGATTCCAACGACGCGTGTTGTTTGCACTGTCGGGGTGTGAACGGAGTAAGCGGGGGGGGGACCCCGACCGATGTCACTTGGTCGTAAGTCATGAAGTCCCTCACTTCGAATTTGGCTTGGGTTGCGGCATCCCGATTGCCGGACTTGGGTCCCAAGGACAGTGAACACGTTTGATTAGATATTCTTGTTGATATGAAGAAGGACCAACAACAATCGGGTCTGCCTTGAGTCTATATTCCGCTTATCTTCCACCTTCCACCATCATTTATCACTTGATGTATACTTATTCATTCATTCACTCATTATATTCATCTGCTAGAGTTGGAAAACACCTCAGTTATTGCGCTGCTATATATATGTAGAAGGAAAAAAACACGAAACAGTCTCACCCTAGCTAAGCCACTAGTAACAGGTGGACATCGTTTCGAAGAGCAATCGTGTCGAAAAATTTACGTTATGCGTAGGAAATGGTGTTTTAAGGGAGAGGTAAAGCGGGAGCAGGAGGAGGAGGGACAACGAAACTCAACCGAAATGCTACTGAGGTCGGATCCTAGCCGTATCAGCATGTGTATCCAGCGAAACTTGTTTGTCGTCCTTCGGGCCCCAATTAGAGAGTCGACAGGCTCCCACTGAGGCCAACCTTGAACCAAGGGCTTCCATTCTTCTCCATCGTGTCCTCGGTTGGTCTCCTTTGCTGTTCTTCCATCCACGCCCCCGGCGGGAAAACAACACGCGTTGCGGGAGTCCGTATGCTGGCATGCGCAACACATGGTCCAGTCATAGGAGCCTAGTACGTGATATATTGGTGCTGAGCGGTTCACCTCCTCGTCCAACACGCTCATTGCTCATACGGTGTTCCCACCAGACACGAACCCATCTGCAGAAACACCTCATTGCACAGTACAATACAGCATAACACTATTTGGTCTCGTTTTTCTACTTTCCTTTTTCCCACATGATGTGCATTACGGCATTGTTGGGTTGTTTCTCATCCTTAGCTAATGTATAGAATGATGAGGAGGAGGACTGTTGTGTTGTGGTCTGCCTTGAACTACAGATTGCTTCGCCAATTTACTTCGTACCCTCGGGTCAGATTTTTCGCATTAACATGGTGTCTTTCCAGATGACATATTCTTTCGTATGATCGAACTCTTCATTTTTCCTTTTAATAGAAATTTCCCGCACTACTGGTTGAATTTTCGCCATGAATCTTTATATGTACATCATCATCTGCGTCATGAGCTTTCTTTCCTGTGAATGCTTGGTGTCGAATTCCATTCACTAAACTCTGTGTATTTTAAGTTGCGTATGCCGTTGGACTGATTCATTTTCCACTCAAATCTTTCAGCGTTGCCACAACCGTTGCGTCTGCTGCACAGGCCGCAGCAGCAGCAGCGGTCGCCGCCACGGCGGCTGTTACTCATTCGGCGAAGTTCTTTCAATTGAGCAGGAAACGGAACTCCACGACCAATTTCGATTCACTGAAATCACCTTGTGCCGGGTTTTCACATGCGCTTAATTCGAGTACGTCTGCTGGCGCGCCTGCTTGCCAACTACCCATATCTCAAGCCGAGTCTGACCGTACTGGACTGTCTCCGAACACCGCTGTCACAATGACTAACGCGGCTGCAGCTGCTGCAATGGCTGCTGCTGCTGTCTCCGTTGCTGCTAAACAAAGACAACTATTGTCAGAGGTATGCGTTTTTCGGCCTTAACTCACATCATTTCCGTTGATTTATTCATTCTCTATCTGTCCCTCATTGGTGAATATTTTGGTTGGAACTAACCTCTTTTTGCACGTACTTGCAAATGTTGCTATGTTATCACATTCCTCGTTTACACCCAATGGCATCAACATTAGAATCACCCATAAATGTGTATGATGCGTGTGTTTTTAAATCCTTCAGGAATATGACTACACGCAATCTGACCTCAGGCGTCTATGCACTTGATCCCAAATATTGCTACTGACAGCGGTTTCTTATCGCCGTTTTAGTAATCTCTACATGAGAGTATGAGACAGTGCGTCGTGAAACAGCCAGGCGCCCGTGAAAATATTCCCAGTTCTTGGTAGTAATTTAAATCGACCTGGGTACTTCGTTGTAAGAAACTCATCGCGTTCAGCATAGCTGTGTTTCAGTCCGTGTTAACCTTTTCAGCCTTACCTTCCAGTCCAGTTGTAATGGAGTTACTCTGGTTATACACTTGTAGAGGCCTACAGGCGACCGAATATGGTGGCTTTGCTAGATTTGAAAGCTATCTTCGCCTCAGTTGACTGCGACTGCTTGTGGCACTGCCTATCCACGACACGTTAGCACGTTCGCTAGAGGTGGGAAACACCTCAACTACTGTGCCGCAATACACAAAAGAAAAAAGGGAAAAGATGCAACATCTGCAAGCCAGCTGAGCTACCGGTAACAGATGGGTATCGTTCCGGTAAGCTACCAGCCGGTTACTATGCAAGAGAAAAAATTTTACTATGCAAGATTATATAAGGCAAAATAGTGAGCTCGTGGTTGAAAGGGCAGGCTAAGAAGGATCGGGTGGGACAGAAACTCATAGCACGAACGCCACTGAGGTCGGCTCCTAGCCATATAAGCAAATGTATCCAGTCAAACGTGTTCATCGTCTTTCGGACCCCAACCAGGGAGCCGAGACGCTCCAACCGAGGCCAGTTTCGAAGTGAAGGCCTTCTTTCCTCTCGACCAAGTCATCGCTTGACCACCTCTCCTCTTCCATCCACAGCCGCGGCGCGCAAACTACGCACGTCGCGGGAGTCGGTGGGCTGGCATGCGTAACTCCTGGCCTAACCGTCGGAGCCTGGTGCGTAAAATAACGGAGCGGTTTCTTTCCTTTTTCTATGCCGTAAACAAGTCGTCGGGGACGCTCGTTGTTCACGCGGTGTTCCCACCAGATGTGAGTTAAATTGCGACGACACCGGTGGTTGGACATAACTAACCATTTTATGTCCGTTGATCTAAGGGGCCAGGTTTCCCAACCGTACAATAGGGTTGAATGTACCGCTGCATTGTACACTCTGCTCTTCAGAGCGAGAGTGATGTCGCGCGGGCGCCATAAGTTATGAAGGTTAGCAAAAGCGCCTCAAGCTTTTGCCATACGGTTCATGATCTCATCTTCAATCCCACGGGTGCTCATGCAACTTCCTAGATAGTTGAATTTTTGAACGACTTCTAGCTGATCACCACCAACGATCAGCGCAAGAGGCGGTCCAGACCAACCTTGGAGGATTGCTTTGCACTCCGAGGGTGCGAATCAAAGCCAAAAGTGACAGACAGCCATGCTAATCTGTCCAGTGCCACTTGGCACGTTTGCGAACTGTCACAGATTACCGTAGTATCGTCACTATCCTCCGAGTCAAGACGTCGTTCTCCTGGGAGCAGATCCACACCTTCTAAGTCGTGTCCTGTGAGCGCGATTTCCATTACTTCGTCAATAGCGAAGTGGAAGAGCAAAGGTAACAGCGGGCATCCTTGTCTCACACCGCTGGAGATATTAAAGGGCGACGACAGCTTGCCGTAAGCCCTCACTCTGCCCGAACTACGCGCGTATAATGCCCGGATAATATTCCCATATTTCTCGAGCACAGCTTTCCTGAGTAGACACTTTTAAATTGCACGTCTATCCACCGAATCGAATGCACCTTTGATATCGAGGATCACGACAACGGTGGGCCGCCAGTATATGTGACGGTACTCCAACGACTGAAGCAAAGTGCAGATGTGGTCAATGCAGCCACGAACTCGACAAAACCCGGCTTGCTCTTCACGAATCTGGCTTTTACGAGTGCCGGTCAGTCTGTGAAGGAGGACAGGCAAGCAATTTGGAAGTGATGGAGATCAGACTGATTCCTCTATGGTTGCCGCATTCCGATCGTGAGTGTCCCTTGAAAATTGGGATAATGACGGAGCGGCTCCATTCGGTTGGGACAGTTTCCTGCTCCTAAAGTTTCACTAGTAAGTCGTACAAATCATCCACAAGAGCAGCTCCATCAAATTTAAAGAGACGGTTGTAGGAAGATCATCCGGTCCTGCAGCTATGTTTAACTTAACAGTGCGATCTCAAGTTCGACTTCTGAGCTAGAAGATGGATCGAGGGTGCGGTGCGATCAGTGGCCGGCGAGAAATCTAACAATTCCGACCGATTAGATTATCTTTCAATATGCTCTGCCTAACCCTCCAAGCGTTTTGACAAGTTGTGGATAGGCTGTCCACTCTCGTCGCGTATAGTTTCACTAACACCAAGTCTCTTGCTTCCCGTTTCCCGTATCAGCCGGAATAACTTATGATGGTTGCCAAGCGAAGCGACCCACTCCATCTCTGAAGCATGATGGGACCACCAGGAGTCGCGGTCTCACTTCAGGCTATCAAGGAGTTTCGCCCGGAGCTCTTTGCGAGTTTCACTGTGTGCGCTTCCAGCCGGAACATGCCGGCGAGCATCGATAAGTTCCAGAGACTACGAAGAGACCCAATGTCCATGTTGGCGATTAGACTTACCAAATGAGAGTTTTCCTGCTGCTAGTAAGGTTTGGTGAGTATGAGACCAGTGAGCTGCAATTTCATCCAGTGAACGCTTAGTCAACTCGCATGACAGCGTATTTTGATAGGCATTCAGAACAGCTGGCTTCGCCAGTTGGCTGGTGTCAATGTGCTCACAGCGTCGTCGTGGGCGTCCGCCAAAACGTATTCACAGGTCAGCACACACAAGTGCATGGTCGGTGTCCACACATGTGCCCCAAATCGAGTGACAGTTCTAGACGCAGCCTCTCCATCGGTAACTTATCGCAATGTGATCGATTTGTGTCCATAGCTGGCTAGAGGCTGGTGAGCGTCAAGTCACCCTCCGGCGGGTGCTGTGTCGAGAGTTAGTGCTCGCAAAAATAAGCGGGCATCTTCACACAAATGAAGTAACCGCTCATCGGTATCCTTACAGGAGCTTACACCATGTTGGTCGCCCAGATGCAGTTCATCAGTGGATGATGTTCCAATTTGAGCGTTCAGATCCCCAGCCAGGACAACAGTGTCCGAGCTTCTTCTGTGGCGAAGGAGCTCATTCAGTTGGCGATAGAAGTCGTCTTTTACCGAATCATCACTGGAGTTTGTGGTTGCATAGGCCGGGATGACGAATGCACACCTGTTAGTCCCGTGCGATTTCCAAGCTTTGAACGAGCCAGCCAATCGGACCGCACACAACCGGCTACTGATTGGGATCCAATCAACCCGAGCAGCTTCAACCCAGGGACTCAGGGCAATACCAACACCGGCTTGGCCGGTGCTCGAAACTGCATCGTCACTGGATAGGCGCAATGAGAATGTGCTGCTGGTGTCACTTGAAGGGGATCACAAAGTGAGCACTGAGCTCGAGTCTTGCAGGCGGGTCTCCGATAAGCAGCAGATATCGATCTAGTGGGTCTCTAATGTTCCGGTAAGTGTTGCCTGTTGACCGATCTGTAGCAGTGTGCGTACATTGAGGCATGCCAATGTGAAGGATAGCCGAGGGCTCCAAATGGAAGCCGATGAACTGGTCGCTTGCTTGGACATGGGCTTGTCGACAGGGCAGGAATGACGCTCCGCGTTCATATGTGAGTTGAAACTAGAGGATAAAAGTCTATGAAAGGAAGCTGGGGTACGGTCAAGAATTGTGGGGTGGAAACCGGTGGGATAAAAGTGAAGCTGGAACGGGACGGTAAGAGAGAAAAAGCGTAAGAGGGTGAATAAGAAGATGAGTGGGCTTGAGCGATAGCATCCAAACCTCTATCCACGATGCTCGGTGCAGCAGATAGGGCCCCGTTGATTATCCTCTGCGGTGACCAGCGTATCAAGAAATTGTTTGACGAAAGATTCATAGTATTGTGTGGGCAGGATACTGTCAGGTTGCCCAGGCCTAGACAGGAGAACGATTAGTGTTCTCAACCAAAGCCTTTGGTTCAAAAACCTGACCGCAAGACAGCGGTGGAGGATCAGGAGACTTAGTTTGTCTGGCCTCTAACCATTGAGCAATCTGGCATGAGTGGCTCTGTAGGTTCAAACGCACTACCCATCGTAGCTCAGTGGATCATTGAAGCACGCAAACCATCGCACCACGGTTAAGAAAAGTAGTGTAATACTTCCGTTGCTCATTGCGTCTTGACATGTGTGATTGAGTTTCCAGCCATGTGTGCTCGTGATCTTTGTGCCCTAAACCAGAGATTGGAGAACGCCCTACCGCGGCCTAATGTGTGGTCAGCGTCTCCATACTTCCGGCCCAACTCATTCGCTGACCACATTGTATTCGCTTCCATCCGATTTCTATGATCAATGAGTGCACGGTGAAGCAAACACTTGGTAGGCGTGCGAAGCACATGTATAAGCCACCGAAGCATATGCAGTGAAATTAAACGGCTCAGCAACTGGAAAGGTTTGTCTGATCTAAACATCCAAGGACGCACATCCTCATTACTAGTGTGTTGCCACCGTACGCCAGCGTTGCTCCGAAGGCAATGTTAATTAAACACAGATAGCCTCTGAACGTCCTTTGCGCGTACAGGCCAAATCTCACAACCGTAGAGCAGAACCGCTTTTACCGTGGTATTGTAGACTCGGCCCTTCAAGGATTGACTCAGGTTCCATCGACGTCACAGATGGTGGAGATTAGCAAAAATAACCCGGCTTTCAGAGACGCGGAAAGAAACATCACC